TTAGTTTTCACATTCACTCTCATCATGGGAATCTCTATCACTGTCACCAACATCAACAATTAGTTCTTCTGTTTGTCTGTCTATTACTTGCTCACTGATCCCTATTTTTAAATATTTAATCTACGCCCCTGATAGGAATACTGAAGAATGAGGGCTGTAATCTTTATACCTAAAACTGCCTACCTTTGCCACCGCGCATCCACGCCATTTTAAAATTTCCGCCAGCTTCCAGCGTCAGGCCTGTATCTGTTTTGTATTTTTTGCTCATGTATTATTTGTAAGATTAGATTAAGTGTGATTCAGGGTATTTATGTTACCCGCCAACCTCTAGTAGCCGTTTATTCTTTTAATGTTTAAACCTTGTATTAGGCAATCGATGTGCAATTCAATAAACTAATTCAGTAATACAACATTAATCAATAGTGTAGATCAGTTACTGTACAATAGTTGTTGGTTTGAACCATATCGCCGCTTTAGGGACAAATTCTCGATTTCAAAGGATATAATCCCCAAAACAGCACACGCGAAATAGTAGGGAACGTTGGCTTATCTCATGTGACAGAATGGCAAATTTTAAAGGAACAGTTGCTGCATCCGTATCATTTGCAGCGAGTGCAAGTCTTACATGAAACTGGTTTTCATTCGCGAGTGGTTTTATTTGGGTGGTTTAGAAAGAAAAGTGCTACATAATCTAAGTATTTCCATAGGATGTTATTTACAGACAAATTTGCTTCACACAGGACCGAATTTTAATTTTCACTTCGCATGTCGTACATTCTTCGAGATTTTAAGAACTGTTTTCGATAAATCTGTGATGCGCAATTTTTGGAGACTTATTTCACTTTTTTGGTATGTTTACTCACAACTACCCGCAAAATAACTAACACGCCTTAACAATATCTCAATGATGGTGTGGAAATTTCCCTTAATAAAATTACAATTACCCAGATGATGCTCATTTACCGACTAATATTTAGGTAACTTACATTTTCTCTCTCTTTTGTACATTTGCATAGTGCTGCCTGTAATGTAATTATTTAATTTAACATTATGTGTAGTATCTACTAAATCTTAGACATACGATAATCGGCAATGTTGACATTCTTCATCCATGTAGCTGCTGAAATTTTATCGCATTGCGCTATTCGGTAAACACCTGTGTCGCCAATTCACGTACAGGACTGGCTTCGGATTTTAAATTATTGTATTTTTCTCAAAACATCTTTTTTTTATCTGCTGCTGAACTCACTGTGCCTCGATCTATTATTGCATGTAGTTTACAGTCTGCAGAGCTTAGCACTTATTTCTGTTACACCCTGTATACATAGGTACATGTACTGCTTACACCCACATACAATTAAGTAACTCTCCCTTTAATGAATGTTGTCGATATTATTATTTTTAACCCTTAGCTACTTTCATTTCAAAAGATAAACATTTATATTATTAAGATCGTAACCGTGAATGGCTCTTTTAATATTCCAACTATACCATAATATGCTCGATGTCGTGGGTTCAATTGCGAAAATTACGTGAATTCAAACCCATTTACTTTTATTTTTACGATTGATGAATACCATATTCTGCTACGCCCTTATTTTTCGATTTTAATGTGGAAAAAGCGACTCTTGGTAACTTAGCTACGCATACTCATACCTATGCATATATCTCAAATGAAACCCCTTCATTCCTTAAAACCATACGTAATATCCCTAATAAAGCACTTTTCACCCACATTAAAAAATTGTTTTTTAATAACCTATTAAAAGAAGTTAAAATAATTTATAATAAAACCCAACCATTGCTAACCTTAATATTTTTTGATACGTTTATTTATAATGAATTTACATTTACAAAGGTCATCTGCGGCCTCAAAGTTTCACTCACTAACACGATAAAGTGAATATATACTGTTGTTTTTTTTTTTTTGGAAAATTAAACCAACTGATTTTTAAAATAACCCAACATAAGTAATTGATTAAGACGTATCAAAAAAAAAAACTCGGCCACAATACTAAGTGATACAAGAAAATAATATGGAATATCCAAATAGAAGCAGTGCATCGCCCTCCAGTGGGTATTTACTGATACTGAGATACTGCAGGCATTAGACAAGGTATTTCAACTTACACATACGTGATAGACACGTAAACCAATTAATAAAAACATTGATGTTCTTGATTAATTTAATCATCAAACTCCCGCATGAGGATTGCAATTTCGGTTTTGTATTAGATGAGGCGTTGATGAGATCCAGTAGATCGAAATATCGATCCACGGCTAATAGTGTCGGTAAATTTCTATCTAAAAATTTAAACCTTATTAATCAAATTGATTATAAATCTGTGGAATTCAACTATTTAGTAGAAACACTGTTACCAAAAAACTTAATACTCGTTTTGTTATCCTCAATTTGTAACTGATATACTTTAGATGTTTATTCATGTCATGTTGTTAAAAATTAAAATTAATATGTGCCGATTAATTGGCTGAAATATTTATTTTTATCCTACANTTTTGGTTGATCTTTGATACGTCTCCTATATATACGGGATTGTCCTTTATTGAAATATCCTGTATTCTGTGCGCTCCGTTTTTGTCCCATTTCATAATAATGACGACAAAATATTCTGCTTAATTATTTACATACCAAAAATCAAATAAAACTATATCCAATTTTACTTCACGAAAAAGACTTTGGGATTTGTTTATCTTTTACTAAATGTAGTCACAGTCTGTGCAAGAATTACGTCAACCCCATGGACCTTTATTGTGATGTGGACAACTGAAGCATGAAATTGTTACTTAACGTAAAAAAAATACAATTTTATAGGCAAATTCCTAATTGACAATAGGAAGCCCACTTCAAAAATTTAATTAATTTCCGCAAAAACTGATAATGACATGGGAAATTATCGCACAACCGCATTGTACAGACTGTATTATGATTTTGTAAGCAGAAAACAGCGAAATATCTAATTAGTGAATCTTCTCCCGTGGTTTTGTAGTCATTTACGTTAACAAAATCATGACAACGTTACTCGTCAGCTTGTCACAATGTATTAGTAACGCAATTAGTGACTAGAGTGCGTTTGAGAAGCTTTCAATATGCGCATAAACAATTTGATTCCGCTCTAACAGCTAAAACAATATTATGCAGAAACTGTACTTGCATACTCACATACATACATACATACATATATACGTGGATGCAAGTATGTACTTGCAACATACATACATACATATATATAATATATGTACACATACATACGTGCAAAGCCTCGTTGGTTCGCTGCAGTCGCTTCACCGAGCGCGTAGAAAATTGAATTACGCGAAAACAAAGGGGACGGCGGGGAGAAGAACGGCACTGCGCCGACTTCCTAACAATTGGGAGGAAAGGGGTTTGTTACGTACATAATTAACTACGGCTTGATAATTAATTAGTTCCAGGAAGCGCCGCTCGTCGGCGCCACTCTCGATGCTGTTGAAGCCAAATTCGCTTATGCCCTACGCTACTGACTGAATCTAGATGGCTGTGGCGGTATCGACCACCACCCCATTCTAAAAAACACGTACTACACACACACATACATACTCCTTCGTTCGTACCGCTTTATTAAAAAGCCGCGCCACGCCGCGACTCGTCGCTTCGACAAAGTAGAAACGCACTCGATAATATACGCTCCCAATACTTCCATTAAATAATCATCAGAGACTTCGATTCCAACTGGCGTGCCTTGCCGCCTCGACCTACCCCAACACTCGTTTCGTTCAGATCTGTTAACTTTATTCTACTCGGTTCTGATATTTTCATTTGAAAGAGCCTAATGTATGAACGATATTAATTATTGTCGTCACACATTAGTCCTTAATTTAAAAAAAATATATCCGAATGTTTAATAATATTTGTATATTTTAATATTTCATAAACTGAATATACAAACAGGTTTCGAATAAATTGGATATTGACAAATTGGTAAAGATTTTCCCGGCCAGTATGTGATGCTGTCCTAATTGGGGTCTAAACTAAAGGTCGTCATCGATTGGAAGTACTTTCTAACGCTTCTAGCACGAGTGGAGAGTTTTTTCAGAGGTCCGATACTGGATGTTGGACTAAAGGACCTCTGAAGAAGTTTTCCACTAGAGCTAGCGAAACGTTAGGAAATACCAACACCGGCCTTTAGCAGGACAGCATCAGTTCAGTTTGGATATTCAAACCAAATTATAAACAAATACTTGAATACGTACTTAAATATGAAAAAATCCGTCCTCCACTCTATACTGGTTATATATCAGGGTATAGGTAAGTTGAGCCAAATGCAAAAATAATTTCATAACCTTTAGGGATATAAACCAGAGGATAGCGCAGGGTCGTGTCGTATGATGATGATGAACCTTTATTATTTTGTACTATGACTACAATAAAGATATATGTTACAATAAGATGAGATTTCATTTATAATGCGATCTGACTTGGAAAGGCTACTTTTCACATTCTTCTAGTCCATTTGTCAATTCTAGTTATGACTAGAGAAAACTAGAATTAAATTCTCACTTCGTTCTAGTCGTCACTATACACATTTTGGTTAAAAATAAACTCTAATTTTAATGTAAAGTCTGCAGTTAATACAGATCCACAGTGACTGTGAGAGACTGTGAACTTCTACTAATTATTTCTTTTCTGATGGATATAGGATCATAGGATTGCGGTAGGAGTAGACAACACTAACGAAGTCGCCCTTTCCTTTTTTTTATTTGATAGTTAGCATACTCTTGTTGATAGCATTGTGATTACTAAAAGCATACGTACTTGATTCATTTTACTTATAAGTACATATAATTAATATTAAATCGATCATCATCGTCTCTAACTCTTCAGTAAAAGTGAAATACTTTAGTTTTAACTAAGATTTTATCAGACAGTTCTAGTTTTTCCTAGTGGAAGCTGCAATTGACTAAAGAAGATTGTTAAAACTAGTTTTCCCTAGACAAATCGCGGTTTAACTGAAATCGGGTTTTTAAGGTAACGTACATATACTAGACATATTTTCCTTAACTTCATTGTATAAGTATAAAACTAATTGTATCATTATTAAATGTTGGGTGTACAATATTGATTGAAAAATTAAATTACAGAAAAATGAAGAAATTTAATAACAAATGTTCGATTTACGTTTTTAAATAATAACTTCAACGTTTTCTTTAGTGCATTCAATAGAATTAAATTGATTTTGGAAATTGTATATGTATTAGCGTAACATTTTCGCCGTGCTAATGAAGCAGATTGTGGTATGAAGTGGAAGTGTGGGAAGGATCCTTTTAAAGGTAAAATCCGTGTAGGTACGTGACAATGGTGTGGCTTATTAAAGGATGAAAGTACTTGCAACGGTTCTCTCGAAAAGAATAAAAAAGAAAAGAGATATACCGTTGTAATCAGCAGCAATCGCAAAACGTACGTTAACACGACTTTTGAATGAAAACAACCGATTTGGCTACGCCTTTCCACATAAAATTTTGTGATCTTTTTAAAAATGATAAAAATAAACATAGATTAGGAATGGCATAGGAACTATAGTTTTATATATCTAGATATTAACCACTGTAGAAAATTTTTAAATAATAGATGGAGATGCTATAAAACAAAAATACTGGTATGTAAGGGAAGAAGAAGAAAAAGTAAGGAAAGAGGGAATATAAAGATAGGAGACGAAAAATTAGAAAAAGTGGCTGATTTTAGGTATCTAGGAAGTCGGATATAAAGCAAAGGTTAGCACAGGGTCGAGTCGCCTTCAATAAACAGATGTCACTTTTATGCTAGCGAATGGTTAATTTAAAAATTCCAAAAAGATTGTTAACGTTGTATTTATGGAGTGCGGCGCTGTATGGGTGGGAAACATGGACAGTGGGCGCTGCGAAACGGAAAAGGTTAGAAACGTTCGAAATGTGGTGTTATAGGCGAATGATGAGGATACCGTGAATAGAGAAGATTAGAAATGAAGAAGTATTAGAAAGAATAGGAGAACAAAGGACTTTATGGAAGTCAATAAGAAATAGGCGGAATAAGTTAGTAGGAAACTTTCTGAGGCATGAAAGTCTAGTTAGATACATATTAATGGCAGAAACGAGTGTTAGGAGGGGTAGAGGTAGATCTAGATCAGATTACTGTTCGCAAATAGTTACGGATGTGGGTTGTTCTAGTTTTGAGGAAATGCGAAGATTAGCTCAGGATAGGAAAGAGTAAAGGTGCGTGTCCAACCAGTCTTAAGACTGACGACTTTATGATGATGAGATGGAGATTCCCTTGTAACTTCCACGAACGTTAGATTCCTTTAGTACCTACTGTAGTAGAAAATTAGAATAGTGTAAAGTGTAAAAGAAAAATGTGCCATATTATGATCTTGTGTACCAGATGCTAAAACTCCAAATTATAACTACTGCTTTTAGTATGGATAAATAAATAAGAAGTTATTGTTTATAATAACAATATTAGTTACAAAAAGGCCGATTTTCTATTTACTGAAAGCTGTTTTATTAACCAACAAGTAATTCGTTTCAAATTCCATTTCTTCTCCTTACTCAGAAATCAAAATGAATCGAGAGTAACAATAAGTATTTTATTATTGTAAACAACACTGACCTTTCGCCTTTGGTGTAAAAGATTTCATCAATTTCAATAATAACATAATGTATTTATTTTTAAACCTATTCGATTTTGATTCTATTTTAATAGTGTGGTACTTGTATGGAGTTTCTTCAATGAACTTCTCAAGTTGTTGTTGAATGTTTTTATTGATTTTTTCTGCTTTTCTTCCATTCACTTTCTTTTTCTGTTGTTCTCTTTGTTACTCTCTAGTTTACTTTTTGCTTTATGAAATTCTTTCAAGATTTCATATTGATCCTGGCTTCTTATTTTCTGTTCATGCTTTATTGTTCTTCTTCTTGTTATGAAAAACGTATTTCAACGTCTTTTGATTTAGGTTCAGGGTCCTTAGGCACATAACAAACTTTCAAATATTGTTTACAATAATTCCGAACGCCTTTCTACCGGGAAATTAAAAATCGTTACTCCAGTAAAAGTTCTTTGTCTATTAAGTTTGTAGCACTTTCTATTTAATATAAGCACAAACACAACATCAAACGTAAGTAATACACAATTTATAATTATTGCTAAGAGTTTCTACAGGACTCGATTGTGTTGAGGTTGAGGTGATTATTTTTCAAGTGTGCATGGTTTTGAAGTAAAACAAAATTTTATTAGGACCGGGTGAAATGCAAACAGTTCAAAGGGACAAAAATTAGGGGATGCCGAAAAGTCTTTTTATGTTCGTTCTCGCGAAAATATATGTACAATAATAACCAAAGGTGAAGAGTTATAGTCGAGAGTTTGCCCAATTTAATTGATGATCATCTTACCTTTAAGTTCTGATTGGCAAAGGACCAATTCAGAGGACGCTAAAATTAATAAAAAATGTATACAATCAAGTGCTTATTTATGGTCGAAAAAATTTTTTAGAACCTTTAATTAATCATAAAACCGAAAACGAGATTTTTTGTGACGTTCAATCAAGAATCTGAAGAACGTTTTGAATGGATTTTAAACAACGAATGAGTTCAGAATTAGTAGTTATAAAAGCAGGAATGAAGATTATATCATAAGAAAAATACCTACTGTCTCATAGATGGGCAGAAAATAAAAGTATTTTGTGTTGTAGTTTTGTCTTGTCATATCTTGATCTTGCAGATTTGGCAAGACCCATATCTGAACCAAGGCATACATCTGGCTAATATATTAGTACGACGAACACCAAGATTAAATGAATAAGAAAAAATCAAGAGCAAGGTTTACTAACAAAATTCACTCAAAATTGTCACATAAACTCTAATACAACACAGATGAAATAGCTTCATCATCATCATAGGGTCATCAGTCCTAAGACGTTTGGACACGCACCTCCATTCTTCTCTATCTTAAGCGAATCTTTTCCTAAGACTAGAACATCCCACATTCTTAATTAAGTATTTTTTATGTATACATAATTACTTCTAACATGCTCAGATATGGTGTTAAATTCTAATAATGATAACGATTGAAAGTTGATAAAAAACATATTATTGATTATAGGTAATAATAAAAAGACACTTGGGGAAGTTTTTTAGAAAACTAAATTTTATTACGAAAAATCGATGTACATTTCGTCTTCTTAAGGCATCTTCAGGAGTATTATTAAGTACTAAAGTTTCGGTTGCAATATTTTTATTAAATACTAGGTAGTATTAGCTTAGGATCTAGGGGGGGCTGTTACCGAACTCTAGTTGATGATTAGCTAGTTTTTTGTTTAATGAAATTGTTTTTTTTATTCCCGAAATCTCCTATCGATCTAATACTTTACCTTCTCTTAGATTGTGTAAGAACTTTAAATTATTTTTGGAAACGGTGTGATTGTTATATACTGATCTGATTTAAAGAAAACTACTACTATCAACTTTCATAAAATCGACTTTTCGTTATAATGGTTTAGTGATTATGCAGGAAAACGCGGTCAAAATTATTTAAATAAAATTGACTCTAGAAAATGTTTTAAACAATTGATTGACTTGACCCTTACTTGATGTAAATCTATTGTAGATAAACAGGAAAACAAGTTAAAAGATTTTCACTAAACTTGTTTTGTTATAAGGCAAAAACCATAACTGATGTTGAGCACCGACAACCTAATACTTAAAATAAGAACAGAATTTTAAATCTTACTTAACAGTCTAACTAATCTGATATAGGATTAGAGCGTCTATAGTTGCTACTTCTATATCACCAAAGAAAAACAGAATTAAGTATAGAAATATGAAAAAATGATGCTTTTTAAACTTCCACAATTTACACTACAAGCATATATATATAGGGGTGTTTAAAAGCCTGTGAGGTCATATTATTTGTTGGGATATTCTATATACGTTTTCTACATTCAAATGAGTAACTTTGCGAGCGAATATATTAATTATTCATTTATTCCCCTTCCTGTTTACTTCTTTACTTGGCTCACTTTAGCTCGGATGTAATTCAGCGTTTCATATTCCATTAGGAAGGCATTAGAGCCAGTAGATCTCGACTTGCTGAAATTTCCTTCGGTTTTCCCGGTCTTATTCTTATTTCGAATTCGAATCTTTTCTAACGAAGTTACAAACTAGCTCATTAGGAGGAAAATGGCGAGTATATTATCTCGTTAATGAAAAATGGCTTTACGACCAATTTAACCGCAGCAATCAGCATTTCAAGATGTTCATTATCTTTGTCTTACTTTTCCGCGACTCGATTTACATAATAGGATTCTTCTGGTGGTACACAACTACGCGGATATCGCGTGTATTCAGCGGGACGGGCTCGTAAGTGGAATACCTTACTCCGGTTAAACACT